ACAAATGGTCGATAACCATTTTTCAATGGCCGGTGGTCCTATCTCTTGGCCGGTGACATCACACAGTTCTTAGGGAGTGGTTCAGAAACATCCTTGGGACTTGTGCAGTTTTTAGAGGAGCAAAACAGTGCAAACAGAGGCAACATATTGCATGGCAACGGGTTTCCGAGCGAGGCGATCGAGCATGCATCATTCAATCATTTCGAGGTGGAACTGCGGCGGCCTCCTTTTGTTATTAATTTTTTAATTAATTAAGGGTTTGTAATAATTAATTAGCTAGGATAGTTGATTAATCATTTGGTTTGTATTATTTATTCGGACCCTCCGTCGAGAGGGCGAATTTTGTAATAAGTGTCGTGCGTGTTTGAATGTCTTCCAACCCCACGTCTTTCTCCCTTTTACTTATCCGCTTTCAATGGTTAGTTTTAGGTCATGTTTCAATTAGCATACTTGTGTTAGCATATTTGCATACATTCATTCGTATTGCACGCATCGGGCTCGGCACATCATACTAATTGCATGTGTTTCAATTCCAACTTGAATACGTGTATCGAGCTGTCGCATTTCACATACCATTCTTAAACTAGCCGAGCCTATTCTAGTTGCATTTTGCATGTGTTCCATTAGCCATCTTAAACATGAACTAGGATCATGCATGATTTCTAACTAGTTTCTTGTTTTGGCTCAGAGTAAACTGTGAGTGTTCATGCTTTAACATCTTACATGTGTGTAAGTGTTAACATGACAGCATGCTTTCCGTGAGGCTAATTGCTTATGTGATATAACTTCCTGAATGCCTGTGGGTGAAGGTTGGGTTGCTTGAATTGGGATAATTCATTGAAATCCGTGATTTAGCCTACTTGCGGGTAGCAAACTTCAAACCGCCTTCCAAACAAACGGATATGTAATGCTTTGTTCCAAATTAGGCGATCTAGTTCATACTTGTGTGTTGTGCGCATCACATAGTAATTCTAGCTAATTAATCGGAATAAGAACACATATGTTTTCCAAAATAAAATATCATGTTCAGTAGCGGCCGATCTTTGATCGAGCAAGCGGGGGTGTTCATAGATGACCTTCCCCAATCATACCCAAGTTTCCGAGCCGAGGGAACTTTGGTGATGACAGACACGTGGCCTTAGGCAACGAGTCAGGGTTTCCTAAATTCCCCTAAAATAAAATATTTACGTGGCAACTCTGTATCTGGCAAAGCAGTCCATGTTTGGCACTTCTTTCTTAAAAATCAGTTTTCCAAAACAATTTGCCGAATTTACTTTGCGAGATCAGATTAAGAACTGTGACATTGAATCCGAACTGTAGTAGCAAAGCCCTCAGGGCGCGTCTACAGCTTATTTGATATAACTGCCTGAATGCCTGTGGGTGAACGTTGGATTACTTGAATTGGAACAATTCATTGAAATGCGAGTTTTAAGCCCACTTAAGAGTGGCTAAATCATGTTTTCTAAGCCCACTTGAGGGTGACAAATCCACATCTTAGCCTACTTGCGAGTAGCATTTTCAAACTATTTTCAAATAAACCAACATGAAATGTTTTGTTCCAATTTAGGCGATCTAGTCTATACTTGTGTGTTGTGTGCATCACATAGTAAATTCTAGCTAATAAACCGGAATAAGAACGCACATGTTTTCAAAAACAAAATATCATGCTTAGTACAGGCCGATCTTTGATCGGGCAAGCGAGGGTGCTCATAGATGACCTTCCCCAATAACTTTGTGATGAGGAGTGGCTTAGGCAACGGAGTCAGGGTTTCTAAATTCCTCCAAATATAAAATATTTAGGTGGCGACTTTGTATCTGGCAAAGCAGTCCATGTTTGGCACTTCTTTCTTAAAAATCAGTTTTCCAAAATGATTTGCCGAATTTGCACTCTTTGGTGATTTATCGGTCTCACATTGCACTTTGCGGGATTAGATTCAGAACCGTGACATTTGAGTCTGAACTATAGCAACCCAATGAACAAAATGGGATTTTCGCGCCGCTTCGCGCATGGAGCCCGGGACGTTTGGCCACGTCTACATGCTCCTTTTTTTTTTCACCCTTCCCCAGACAACATGTCCCATTTTTAGCCCATTCAATCGTCTTCACCTCCTTTTCGACAAATTTCTCGCTTTTAAATCATTTCCAGATTATCAAATTCCATTCAATTTCATTTTTTGTCCGTCGACTGGTTAAAACAATAAAGTCGCGGTTTATCATCGGGTGCGATCATACCAGCACTAATGCACCGGATCCTATTAGAACACCGCAATAAAGCGTGCTTGGACGAGAGTAGTACTAGGATGGGTAACCCCCTGGGAAGTCCTCGTGTTGCAATCCTTTTGTCCCATTTCTTTTTTCATCCTTTCCTGTTCAACCTGTCCGATTTTTAGCCCATTCAATCGCCTTCGCCTCCTTTTTGACAAATTTCTTGGTTTTAAACCATTTCCAGATTATCCTATTACATTCAATTTCATTTTTTGTCCGTCTACTGCTTAAAACAATAAAATCACGGTTAATCTTCGGGTGCGATCATACCAGCTATAATGCACCAGATCCCATCAGAACACCGTAGTTAGGCATGCTTGGGCGAGAGTAGTGCTAGGATGGGTTACCCCCCGGGAAGTCCTCGTGTTGCGATCCTTTTGCCGCTTTTTTTTTCCACCCTTCCCCGGACAACCTTTCCGATTTTTAGCCCATTAAATCGCCTTCGCCTCCTTTTCGACAAATTTCTCGCTTTTAAACCATTTACAGATTATACTATTCCATTCAATTTCATTTTTTGCCTGTCAACTACTTAAAACAATAATGTTGCGGTTAATCATCGGGTCTGATCATACCAGCACTAATGCACCGGATCCTATCAGAACACTGCAGTAAAGCGTGCTTGGACAAGAGTAGTACTAGGATGGGTGACCACCTGGGAAGTCCTCGTGTTGCAACCGTTTTGCCCCATTTTTTTTTTTTTTCATCCTTTCCTGTTCAACCTGTCCGATTTTTAGCCCATTCAATCGCCTTCGCCTCATTTTTGAAAAATTTCTTGGTTTTAAACCATTTCCAGATTATCCTATTACATTCAATTTCACTTTTTGTCCGTCTACTGCCTAAAACAATAAAGTCGCAGTTAATCTTCGGGTGCGATCATGCCAGCTATAATGCACCAGATCCCATCAGAACACCGCAGTTAGCATGCTTGGGCGAGAGTTGTGCTAGGATGGGTTACCCCTCGGGAAGTCCTCGTGTTACGATCCTTTTACCGCTTTTTTTTTTCCACCCTTCCCCGGACAAGCTTTCCGATTTTTAGCCCATTAAATCGTCTTCGCCTCATTTTCAAAAAATTGCTCGCTTTCAAACCATTTGCAGATTACACTGTTCCATTCAATTTCATTTTTTGTCCGTCTACTGCTTCAAACAATAAAGTCGCAGTTAATCTTCGGGTGCGATCATACCATCCCTAGTGCCCCAGATCCTATCCGAACACCGCAATAAAGCGTGCTTGGACGAGAGTAGTACTAAGATGGGTGACCCCCTGGGAAGTCCTCGTGTTGCAACCCTTTTGCCCTATTTTTTTTTTCATCCTTTCCCATTCAACCTGTCTGATTTTTAGCCAATTCAATCGTTTTCGCCTCTTTTTTGACAAATTTCTTGGTTTTAAACCATTTCCAGATTATCCTATTACATTCAATTTCATTTTTTGTCCGTCTACTGCTTAAAACAAGAAAGTCGCGGTTAATCTTCGGGTGCGATCATACCAGCTATAATGCACCAGATCCCATCAGAACACCGCAGTTAGGCATGCTTGGGCGAGAGTAGTGCTAGGATGGGTTACCACCCGGGAAGTCCTCGTGTTGCGATCCTTTTGCCATTTTTTTTTTTCACCCTTCCCCGGACAACCTTTCCGATTTTTAGCCCATTAAATCACCTTCACCTCCTTTTCGACAAATTTCTCGCTTTTAAACCATTTGCAGATTATACTATTCCATTCAATTTCATTTTTTGTCCGCCAACTGCTTAAAACAATAAAGTCGCGGTTAATCTCCGGGTGCGATCATAACAGCACTAATGTACCGGATCCCATCAGAACTCTGCAGTTAAGCATGCTAGGGCGAGAGAAGTACTAGGATGGGTGACTCCCTGGGAACTCCTCGTGTAGCAACCCTTTTGCCCCATTATTTTTTATATTTTATTTTTCATCCTTCCCCGGACAACCTGTCTGATTTTTAGCCCATTCAATCGTCTTCGCCTCCTTTTCGACAAATTTCTCGCTTTGAAACCATTTTCAGATTATACAATTTCGTTCAATTTCATTTTTAGTCCATCTACTGCTTATAACAATAAAGTCGTGGTTAATCTTTGGGTGCGATCATACCAGCACTAATGCACCGGATCCCATCAGAACTCCGCAGTTTAGCGTGCTAGGGCGAGAGTAGTACCACTAGGATGGGTGACCCCCTGGCAAGTCCCCGTGTTGCAGCCCTTTTGCTCCATTTTTTTTTATTTTGTTATTTTTTATTTTTTATTGTTCACCCTTCCCCGGACAACTTGTCCGATTTTTAGCCCATTCAATCGCCTTCGCCTCCTTTTCGACAAATATCTTGGTTTTAAACCATTTCCAGATTATCCTATTACATTCAATTTCATTTTTTGTCCGTCTTCTGCTTAAAACAATAAAGTCACGGTTAATCTTCGGGTGCGATCAAACCAGCACTAATGCACCGGATCCCATCAGAACATCGCAGTTAAGCGTGCTTAGGTGAGAGTAGTGCTAGGATGGTTGACCCGCCGGGAAGTCCTCGTGTTACACACCTTTTGCCCTTTTTTTTCTTCTCTGTTTTTTTTTTCACCATTCCCTAGACAACCTGTCCGATTTTGAACCCCTTCAATCGCATTCACCTCCTTTTTCATCAAATTTCTCGCTTTGAAACAATTTTCATATTATACTATACCATTCTGTTTCATTTTTAGTCCGTTTACTGCTTATAACAATAAAGTTGTTAATCTTTAGGTGAGATCATACCAGCACCAACGCACCGGATCCCATGAGAACTCCGCAGTTAAGTTTGCTAGGGCGAGAGTAGTACTAGGATGGGTGACCCCCTGGGAAGTCCTCGGGTTGCAACCATTTTGCCTCATTTTTTTATTTTTTTTATTTTTTACCCTTCTCCGGACAACATGTCCGATTTTTAGCCCAATCAATCACCTTCCCCTCCTTTGCGACAAATATCTCAGTTTTAAACCATTTATAGATTATCCTATTACATTTAATTTCATTTTTTCTCCGTCTTCTGCTTAAAACAATAAAGTCACGGTTAATCTTCAGATGTGATCGAACCAGCACTAATTCACCGAATCCCATCAGAACACCGCAGTTAAGCGTGCTTGGGCGAGAGTAGTGCTAGGATGGTTGACCCACTGAGAAGTCCTCGTGTTGCACACCTTTTGCCCTTTTTTTCCTTCTCTATTTTTTTTTTCACCATTTCCAGACAACCTGTCCAATTTTTAGCCCCTTCAATCGCCTTCGCCTGCTTTTCGACAAATTTCTCGCTTTGAAACCATTTTCAGATTATACTATTCCATTCAATCTCATTTTTAGTCCGTCAACTGCTTATAACAATAAAGTTGTGGTTAATCTTCGAGTGCGATCATACCAGCACTAATGCACCGGATCCCATCAGAACTCCGTAGTTAAGCGTGCTAGGGCGAGAGTAATACTAGGATGAGTGACCCCCTGGGAAGTTCTCATGTTACAACCCTTTTGCCCCATTTTTTTTATTTTTTATTTTTCACCCTTCCCCAGACAACCTGTCCGATTTTTAGCCCATTCAATCGCCTTCGCCTCCTTTTCAACAAATATCTTGGTTTTAAACCATTTCCAGATTATCCTATTACGTTCAATTTCATTTTTTGTCTGTCTACTGCTTAAAACAATAAACTTGCAGTTAATCTTCGGGTGCGATCATACCAGCACTAATGCAACGGATCCCATTGGAACTCCAGAGTTAAGCAGGCTTGGGCGAGAGTAGTACTAGTATGGGTGAACCCCTAAGAAGTCCTCGTATTCCACCCCGTTTGCGCCTTTGTTTTTTTTTTTTCACCCCTTCCCGGACAACCTGTCAGATTTTTAGCCCGTTCAATCGTCTTCGCCTCATTTTCGACAAATTTCTCGTTTTTAAACCATTTCCAGATTATCCTATTCCATTCAATTTCGCTTTTTTTCTGCCTACTACTTAAACAATAAAGTCGCGGATAATCTTCAGGTGCGATCATACCAGCACTAATGCACCAGATCCCATCAGAACTCCGCAGTTAAGCGTGCTTGGACAAGAGTAGTACTTAGATGGGTGACCCCTCGGGAAGTCCTCGTGTTGCACCCCTTTTGCCCTTTTTTTTTTTCACCCTTTCCCAGACAACCTGTCCCATTTTTAGCCCATTCAATCGCCTTCACCTCCTTTTCGACAAATTTCTCGCATTTAAATCATTTCCAGATTATCCTATTCCATTCAATTTCATTTTTTGTCCGTCGACTGCTTAAAACAATAGAGTTACGGTTAAGCTTCGGGTGCGAACATACCAGCACTAATCCACCGAATCCCATCAGAACACCGCAGTAAAGCGTGCTTGGACGAGAGTAGTACTAGGATAGGTGACCCCCTGGGAAGTCCTCGTGTTGCAACCCTTTTGCCCCATTTATTTATTTTTTTTTTATCCTTTCCCGCTCAACTTGTCCGATTTTTAGCCCATTCAATCGCCTACGCCTCATTTTTGACAAATTTCTTGGTTTTAAACCATTTCCAGATTATCTTATTACATTCAATTTCATTTTTTCTCCGTCTACTGCTTAAAACAGTAAAGTCGCGGTTAATCTTCGAGTGCGATCATACTAGCACCTATGCACCGGATCCCAACAGAACATCGCAGTTAGGCGTGCATAGGCGAGAGTAGTGCTAGGATGGTTGACCCCCCAAGAAGTCCTCGTGTTGCACCCCTTTTGCTGCTTTTTTTTTTTTTCACCCTTCCCTGGACAACCTGTCCGATTTTTAACCCATTCAATCGCCTTCGCCTCCTTTTCGACAAATATCTCGGTTTTAAACCATTTCTAGATTATCCTATTACATTTAATTTCATTTTTTGTCAATCTACAACTTAGAACAATAAAGTCGCGGTTAATCTTCGGGTGTGATCATACCAGCACTAATGCACTGGATCCCATCAGAACACCGCAGTTAAGCATGCTTGGGCGAGAGTACTGCTAGGATGGTTGACCCCGTGGGAAGTCCTCGTGTTGCACACCTTTTGCCCTTTTTTTCGTCTCTGTGTTTTTTTTTATTTTCACCATTCCCCAGACAACCTATTCGATTTTAGCCCCTTCAATCATCTTCGCCTCCTTTTTGACAAATTTCTCTCCTTGAAACTATTTTCAGATTATACTATTCCATTCAATTTCATTTTTAGTCTATCTACTGCTTATAACAATAAAGTCGTGGTTAATCTTCGGGTGCGATCATACCAGCACTAATCCACTGGATCCCATCAGAACTCTGCAGTTAAGCGTGCTTGGGCGAGAGTAGTGCTAGGATGGTTGAACCCCTGGGAAGTGCCCGGGTTGCACACCTTTTGCCCTTTTTTTTCTTCTCTATTTTTATTTTTCACCATTCCCCAGAAAACCTGTCTGATTTTTAGCCCCATCAATCACCTTCGCCTCCTTTTCGACAAATTTCTCTCTTTGAAAACATTTTCAGATTCCATTCAATTTCATTTTTAGTCCGTCTACTACTTATAATAATAAAGTCGTGGTTAATCTTCGGGTGCGATCATACCAGCACTAATGCACCGGATCCCATCAGAACTCCGCAGTTAAGCATGCTAGGGTGCGAGTAGTACTAGGATTGGTGACCCCCTAGGAAGTCCTCGTGTTGCAACCATTTTGCCACAAATTTTTTTTTTTTCACCCTTCCCCGGACAACCTGTCCAATTTTTTGCCCATTCAATAGCCTTCGCCTCCTTTTCGACAAATTTCTCGCTTTTAAACCATTTCCAGATTATCCTATTCCTTTCCATTTCATTTTTCGTTCGTCTACTACTTGAAACAATAAAGTCGCGGTTAATCTTCGGGTGCGATCATACCAGCACTAATGCACCGGATCCCATCAGAACTCCGCAGTTAAGCGTGCTCTGGCGAGCGTAGTACTAGGATAGGTGGCTCCCTGAGAAGTCCTCGTGTTACACCCATTTCGCTCATTTTTCTTTTCACCCTTCCCCGAACAACCTGTCCGATATTTAGCCCATTCATTCGTTTTCGCCTCCTTTTGGACAAATTTCTCGCTTTTAAACCATTTCCAGATTATCCTATTCCATTCAATTTCATTTTTTGTCTGTCTACTGCTCAAAACAATAATGTTGCGGTTAATCTTCGGTGCGATCATCCCAGCACTAAATGCACCGGATCCCATCAGAACACCGCAGTTAAGCGTGCTTGGACGGGAGTATAACTAGGATGGGTGACCCCCTGGGAAGTCCTCGTGTTGCACCCCTTTTACCCCCTTTTTTTTTAATTTTTTATTTTTCACCCTTCGCCGGACAACCTGTCCGATTTTAAGCCCATTCAATCGCCTTCGCCTCCTTTTCGACAAATTTCTCGCTTTTCAACCTTTTCCAGATTATCCTATTCCATTCAGTTTCATTTTTTGTCTGTCTACTGCTTAAAACAATAAAGTCACGGTTAATCTTCGGGTGCGATCATACCAGTACTAATGCACCGGATCCCCTCAGAACTCCGCTGTTAGGCATACTTGGGCGATAGTAGTACTAGAATGGGTGACCCCCTGGGAAGTCCTCATGTTCCACCCCTTCTGCCCTTTTTTTTCTTCCCTGTTTATTTATTTTCACTCTTTTTTCCACCCTTTCCCAGACAACCTGTCTGATTTTTAGCCCATTCAATCGTCTTTGCCTCATTTTCTACAAATTTCTCACTTTAAAATCATTTCCAGATTATCCTATTCCATTCAATTTCATTTTTTGTCCGTCTACTGCTTATAACAATAAAGTCGTAGTTAATCTTCGAGTGCGATCATCCCCGCACTAAATGCATCGGATCCCATCAAAACACCGCAGTTAAGCGTGCCTGGGCGAGAGTAGTACTAGGATGGGTGATCCCCACGGGAAGTCCTCGTGTTACACCCCTTTTGCACTTTTTTTTTTCTTTTGTCCTTCCTAGGACAACCTGTCCGACTTTTAGCCCATTTAATCGCCTTCGCCTTTTCAACAAATTTCTCAGTTTTAAATAATTTCCAGATTATCCTATTCCATTCAATCTCATTTTTTGTCCATCTACTGCTTATAACAATAAAGTCGTGGTCAATCTTTGGGTGCGATCATACCAACACTAATGCCTCGGATCCCATCAGAACTCCGCAGTTAAGCGTGCTTGGGCGAGAGTAGTACTAGGATGGGTGACCCCTTGGAAGTCCTCGTGTTGCACCCCTTTTGCCCTTTTTTTTTTCATTTCAACCTTCCCTGGACAACCTATTTGATTTTTAGCCCATTCAATCGCCTTCGCCTGCTTTTCGACAAATTTCTCGCTTTTAAATCATTTCCAGATTATCCTATTCCTTCCAAATTTCATTTTTTGTCCGTCGACTGCTTAGAACAATAAAGTCGTGTAGACACCCCATTTTTGACCGACCTTAAGACTCAGACGTCACAGATTGAGCGCTCGGTGATGATGAATATTGTGCTCGTTCTGAGGTTTCATAGTCTCGGCTGCGAGCCTTGCCTCCGGACTTCGGGGCTCTATTGTGCTTTGCCTCGGTTTGCGAACCAGGTCCTGTTTTCTCCGTTTTCTTTTCCCGAAGGAAGGGAAAGGTCTCGTAGACCATCTCTCAATGGCCGTAGGCTACGTTTCGTGGTCGTAGGCCATTTTTCCTGTTTGGAGACCAATTACCGATTTTCGAAGCCGTCGGTCGTGTGCCTCTGTTTGGGACTGCTTAACTACCTCCGTTTGCTCCGGTTTTTGGCACACACCTTGTTTCCTCTCCCTAGAGGGACACTGTGGCCCGAGAGACCACCTTTGTGGTCATACGCCATCTCCGGTGCCTAACAGTCTGTTTTCGGGGCCCCAGGCCGCGCGTTTTGGCCCCCGAACCCTCGTTTTGCATCAGTTAGGGTTCATTTTTGGCATGGACCCTATTTTCATTGTTAGGAATGTGGTAGTATAGTGGGAGACCAGAAATTATTTTGAAAACCATTTTCTCTCTCCTCCATGCGGTTTTCTTGATAGAAAGCTGGTTTTTCCCACTTTTGGATCACAATTTCTGGTCTCCTATACCACCATTGTGTTATGCTCACCTGGGAGGCCACCAATATGGGTAGGCTGACCAGATTTTCTTCCTAACCCTTTTGAACCTTGCTAGAAAGCTGGTTTTTCTCTCTCCTTGGTCACATTTTCTGGTCTCCCACCATACAGTTGTATTCTACTCATCTGGGAGGCCACCTTTCTGGTTTGGCCGACCAGCTTTTCTCGTTGACCTTTTTGAACCCTGATCGGCCGACCAGGGCAAGTGGTCAGCCGACCACTAGAACTGGTTGGCCTACCTTCTGCTTTTTGGCCTTCCTGAGTTGCATATAGCTGTGCCAGCTGTGTAGCATTTGACCCATTGTCCGAGATTTTGATCCTTTTGTTGGTCTCTTTAAGTTAGTTTTGACCCTCTTGCTTAGCTTCTTAGAGAAGCTTGACTCTTTTGTCAAGCTTCTTGAGGAAGCTTGACCCTTTTGGTCTAGCTTTCTCAAGAAGCTTGACCCTTTTGGTCTAGCTTCTTTGAGAAGCTTTGACCCCCTCTTGAGGCTTCTCCAAGAAGCCTTATCTCTCTCCCTCTATAAAACCAACACTCCCCCTCCATTTGCAGGGGTTAGAAAAACCAGCCAAGGCATATACACTCCACCCTCCATATCTCTCTCATCCAAGCTCAAATACCCCATTGTTCTTGGCCATTACACCACACCTCATAGCCTACCACCTCCACCATCCATTCAATCATCTTGGAGCTGTTTTTCAGAGGTTGAAGACTCACCTTCTTGGTCCAGAACTTGCTGCATTGCTGTGCTACAAGGGTAAGTCCTCATTTCCCTCTTTTTTTGCATTATTTTGCTTCATAACTTAGCCCTATTTTCAAGCATTTATGGGTTTGTTATAAACTAAAAAGTGTCTTATTTTAAGCTCCTCTTGAAGTTTGATTAAGGAAACTTTTCTGTTTGAGGTCATATACCTCCTTGTATGCTCTATCCCTCTTTGTAGGCTTATTTTGCTTCATATCTTAGCCCTACTTATGAGCATTTTTGAGATTTTTCATAAACTGAAAAGAGTCTTATTTTGAGCCCCTCTTGATGTTTGATTAAGGGTATTTTTCTGTTTGAGGTCATTTACTTCCCTGTATGCTTGTTTGCCTCTTGTTTTGAGCCTTGCATCTAGGCCTTTGTTGCATGCTTTCTTTGGCCTTCTAGCCACTGAAATCCAATGGATTTTTAGTGGCTAACACACTGTTTTGAGAGCCAAAATCAGAGGGGGGTGACCCCCTCTCTCCTTGTCTTGTTTGTTGGCCCTTTTGGCCTTCCAAAGGGGCACCATCTTGCATGCTTTAAAGTCTTGTTTCAGGCCCTATTATGTGATTTTTGAGGTCTGCCTTAGCTCTGTCCAGATCCCTTTTGGCCATATTTTGTGTCCCTCATGCATGTGTAGAGCAATCCTCCTTAAGGCCATTCAAGGGGACCTTTCATTGCATGCTTCATTGACCAATTCCAGGGCCTTTTTGGTGAGTTTTAGGGCTGTCATAACTGAGTTCTAGAGTTGGTTTTGCCATTTTACATGTCTATCTTGTATGTGTTGAGTAATCCACCTCATGGCCCTCCAAAGGAGGCCATCATTTTTGCATGCATTGGATACATTTCAGTGGTTATTTGGGCATATTTTAGCATACCATGTCTCTGTTTTTGACTAGTTTGGTGATCTCTCTTGTGCTTCATATACATGCCATGAAAACCATGCTTACTAGCCTATGTTGCATGTTGTTTTAGCCCTTCATGTTAGCACTTTTTAGCCATGCTTGAAACTGATTTGGTGCATGTTTAGGACTGCCATGGCTTTGTTTTCATGCCTCATGGTCAAATAATTCTTTCTTTACATACTTGTGGTTCAATGCATTTGCCTAGTTTTGAGTTTCGGGGCCTATTTCATGCATTGGGTGACATGTTTCCATGATTCGGGACCATTGAGCATATTATTTCAGAGCTGGAAATTGCATGTTTCTATGCCATCTTTCATCCCTTGCCATGCTTTGGTAGAGTGGCATTTGATGCCTTAGGATCGGTCCCTTGCATCGTGCATGTTTGCATGTGTTTAGGTTGTCTCATTTTCATCATGTGGCCACTGATGTGAGTGTGGCTGAGGTCCACTCATGTTGGTGTAAGTCCATCGAGCATTGTGTATGCCATTTCATAGCATTGCGTATGCTAAGTTGCATATTAGAGCATTGTGTATGCCATGTTACATCACGCGCACTGTGTATGTCATTTTAGTCCACAGCATTTTGTATGCTAGGTTGCATGTTAGTCGCATTGTGCATGCCATCTCGTTTGCATTGTGTTTGGGATAGGAGCTAGCCCAAGCACGGGAAACGAGGGACGTTTCGTACTCCGAGTGACGAAACGTGTCTTAATTCCCGGTCGCCGACACTCCGGATTATCCATGATGGAGTTTACGTCTTGTTGTGTTTATATGTGCATTCATTTCACATTGAGTCATGCAATCCGACTCCTCGGCCACTGTGCATCGAGATGCGTGATTGGTGGCACGAGGATCGAGGTGTGCATACATATGTGAAAATACTTTGCCATGCCCCTTTCTTGCTCTCTGTTGCAACAAATCAGAAATCAACAGCCTTCAAGAGCTTTGCGCAACATTCCGGGATTAACTGCAAACAGAGGCAAATCGGGGCATCGCAATGGATTTCCGCGCAAGGAAACTCGAGCATGCATCTTTCATCATTCGGAACAGAGCTGAGGCGGTCCATGAATTTGCATACTAGTTTATTTGCTTTCCTAGTTAATTTGTTAATTAATTAGGGTTTTGTAATATTTAATTATTTATTCAGACTGTAATTATTTATTCGGACTGTATTATTTATTCAGACCCTCCGAGCGAGGGCACAATTGTAATAAGTGTGCGTGTGTGTGATGTA